TGATAGGACAGGCGGAGTTCCAGGGCCTACAGGGTTGCATGGCTGGCGATTTTTTTTTTTTTAATGAATTAAGTGGTGCTCCAGCTCCGGCACCTTTCTGTTCCCCAAGGATTGAGGAATTGAAGTGAGGCCACCAGAGCATGATTGGAGGAATCGTGGCCCCGTGAGTGGATTGTTCTCCCAGTTTAATGTGACGTTTCCTCTGTTCATTGAGAGCCAGCGTGGTGGTGGTTGTCCTGCCTGCCCCTCCATCCTCCTTTGCTGTAGGAACAAGATGATCACAATGCAGCCTTGTAAATCAATTTTCTTTCTGTGCTGATGAAAATGTAATTTATTCTTAATCAACCTGCCTTGCTGCCATAGGCTGCACCTTGCATATATATTTATTTATCCTCCTCTATCACTTCTGGAAAGCCCTGGAGGGCCTCAGTGGAGGTCCCAAAGGACTGTGTAGCCCTGTTTTTCCAGAAGGAGATCTCCCCTTAAGTGATGAGAGGCGGCCTGTTGCAGAGATAAGCACACTGGGTGTGAATCTGGCCTCTTTGCTGCTGCTGTGACCTGATTGATTTAGGTCAGTAGTTCGCTAAGGCCGGGGGTGGGGGTGTCCCTGAGACCCTTTCCAGGAGTCTGCAAGGTCATAGCTCTTAAATATCAGCCACATGAACAGAAGCTCTTTGGGAGGGGAGAGGGTCCTAAGATCCCAGCATTGGAGAACCACTGGCGTAGCGAATTGCCAAAGGCCCTTTTAACTTAACTCCAACTCCCATGATCCTGTGGTGCATGAGAGCACCGGAGGATCAGAATGAGAAGGGACCAGAGAGGCCGTCTGTGGTCCAGATCCTTCATTTCACGACCAATATCTCTGGACAGTTGTCCAGAGCACTTTCTTTACGAACAACTCCGTGAGCTCCCTTTTCTTCATTGTACTTTGAGGCTTACAGAACACTTGACTTGGAATGACCTTTTGAGGTCAATAATGCAAATATCTTTTATCTTACAAATTCCGAAACTGAGTCTGTGAGGGGTTCAGTGACTTCCACAAGGTCCCTTGGCCAGTAATTGTTGGTATTCTGAAGTCCAGTGTTCTTTCCTCAGGCTGCAGGATGTTGGGCTGGGTGTACCCCCACAATCGCTGGTGTCTTGGCTCTCATCCCCCTTGTGGGTCTGCTGTGTCTTGTCCCAGGGGCCATTTGGGAAGGTTTTGGAAGAAGCCAACAATCCCTGCAGTAGCAGGAGGTGCCTTTGGCTCTCCCTCCCTGAGCTGGGTTACAGAGAGCCAGGTGGGCGCCAGGGCGAGGGGCCCTTCAGCCGCTGCACAGAGCAGATGGACCTCCTGCGAGACTCCATGGGCGCCTGGCTTGAGTTCGAGGGGAGCCACACTTGGTCTTGTGGGTGCTGCTTCTTTGTGGAGGAGAGGAGAGCTGCCCTCTCTCGTCCAGGCAGCCTTGGCAGCTTGGCTCATCCACCAGGTGCCTGCGTCCAGCGTCTCTGGCCCCTGCTTCGGCAGCAGGGGTACAGACACCCACGTGAATGGCTCTGGGGAGGCCCAAGGGAAGGAAGACGAGCCTGGCAGGCTGTGTGGACCTCTGAAATACAAAGACAGAGCAGCTTAGGGGACAGGATTGGGCTGGTGACTGAACTGAGCAGTAGCTTCAGGCAAGAGAGACCAGAACTGCTCTTGGGTTGTTCCTGTGGGTAATTTAAGTCAGCTGGAAGGGAGAAGCAAGCCTGTCCCATCGCCTGGGGAGGAAGCTTCACGTTCCCTCAGCATCTTCCAGGAGCTGGTGAGCATGACTTGGGCTCGAGGCAGCATCTGCACTCGGCTCCCTACAGCCCTGCGCCTCTGGGGAGGGTTCAGGAGCTCCCCTGTTCTTGACCTGAAAGCGAGTTTCAGAGGGCTCATGACCTGCTGAACCAGAACAGCATATGATAACGATGGGAATAGCAGCCAGCATTTATCTAGAGCTTACTGTGTGCCAGGCACTGTGCTAAGTGCTTAAAAAATGATCTCATTTGATCTTCAATAACCCTGGGAGGGAGGTGCTGTTATTTCCCCCATTTTCCAGTTGGGGAAACCAAGACAAACGGGAAGTGTATTGCCCAAGATCACAGTGCTAGGAAGTAACTGAGGCCAGATTTGAACTTGAGTCTTCCTGACTGTATCCACCATGCCACCTGGCAGCCCCTGTGGCCCACCAGCCTCCGGGGCCTCATGAGCTGGAGCTGGCATTCTGCACGTGCCACGTGTAGACCTGGGCCTGGGTCTGCCCCGTGGTGTTCATGTTCTGGTTCTCCTGCTGCTGCCCTGGAGGAGGTTCCTGGCTCCAGTTCCAGCCTGTGACACCTTTGGGGTTTCCCCTCCTTCTTCCTGGGAAGCCGTGTCGTGTTTGTGATGGCAGTGCACTGTGATGCCAGGCCTGGAGCTGCTCTGCACCCGCCTGCCTGGGGCATCGTGGGCACATTTTCCAACCTCGCTCTTTGTTTCCTTATGGTAAGGGAATCAGAGAATAAGCTCTAGGAGTGTCATGCCAAAGGCCTGGGGCAGTAGTGTGCGCGTAGTAGGTGCTTAGTACATGTTGGTGCATGTCTCGCCCTTTCCAGGGCTGTTCCAGTTAGGAGATAGAAGAGCAGGGAAGCTGACCTGTTGACTTTTTGGGGAAACTGGTGATTAACCTTAAGGTTAACCAGGCCCTACTAAGACCTTCCTTGAGCAAAGCTCTTGTGGTTCATGTGTTTGTGAACCAAATGGCTTTCTGTCTCAAGAAAGGAAGCCCAGGATTTCCCCTTTGCTCCATGGCCTACTCCTTTTCTTGTCTCCTGCTCCCCTGGCCAGAGGGAGGAATGGCGGCCCAGTCAGATGGAAGGCCAAAGGAAGACTGTTAGGCCGCCAGGGTGGTGGACAGGGATGGAAACAGGCCGCCATGGTGGAAGCAGACGGAGGTCCTGGCAGCACTGGCAGTAACTCCTTTGGCACTCTAAGGACCCTACCGGAGTTGGAACCACAGGGACTTGTGTGGCATGGTGGTGAGGTGGGCACATGCGGGAGGCCAGGCCTGGCAATGGGGCCTGGTCCTGGCTCCCCGGTGCTAGGCTTTTCTCACAGAGGCGGGAGGCTCGTCCCCCTACAGGACCTCTCCAGCCTTTGTGGAGGGCCATCTTTCTCTTGGTGCGATTGGAGCGCTTGGTGCTCTGCTTCTACTGGCATGCACTGTCAGAGAGGGGAAGGGATGCCTTGGTCCTCCTTTTCCACCTTCAGGAGCCTTTGACTTTGGCCTCTTCCCCTGGAGCAGAGGCAATGCTACTTCTGATTCTGAAAGACCAAGGACCAGGTTGAGTCTCTGCAGAGGCAGTGAGTGTTTGGAGCATAAGCATCCTACCACCACCAAGGCACTTTGCATGCTAACAAGCACACGCTCAAGTACCGGGAATATGGGGCTGCTCTGGCTGCCAGGATCCTCCCCTCGCCTCTTGGGCACAGCCGGCCTGGCTCGTCATGTGTGGGATCCAAGAATTCTTGGATTCAGCATGGAGCTCGAGAGCGTGGAGGTCTGTGTGCCTGCGCTCTCAGCCTGGCCTGTCCCAGGAGCGCTGCGCTCCGACCTTGGAGCACTGACGTCTGCCCAAGGGGCCGCCGGAGGTCTGTGGGCAAGCCCGCTGGGCCCTCCTGCCTTTTTCTGCAAACGCTGTTTCTGCAAACGCTAGTAGCTCGCTAACCCTTTTTTACTGCTCCCTTGAAGGGAATAGAAATCAGAGTTGGCAGAGTCAGGAAATGTGATGCTGACAGATGATAGCTCTAGTTGGGACAGAGAAGAGCGTTCTGTGCTCTAGAGAGAGCCCTTAGCACAGCTCTCACAACAAGCACAACAGTGGTGATCGTTTTTTCACCAGCCCTGGGTTTTCATTAGTCTAGAGAATGCCCTTTCCCAGTGCCGTGTCCCAGGGCTGGTGGAGGACGTTGCTGCCTCTCCGTATCTCCCTGCCACAGAAGCTTTGGTTTCATCACTGGCATTCGTGTGCCAGATGCTTGTGGTTTGGTTGATTCTAGGGAGAAATGAAAGAACACAGCAACTAGCTGCGAGTTTTCATGGCTTGTGCTTCATCCCAAGAAGAGCCAAGCAGATCAGCTTCATCGCAGGCCATCCTAAGAGCAGGGAAATGGTTTCAGAAGTGGGGTGCTACCTTCCACTCTGGCTTCCAGAGCTCTCTCCATGGATCGTGTCCCAGGGCCCGTGATCCATTGCAAAGCGTCTGGAGTTGTGCGCTTCTGAGCCAGAGGCAGCTGCCGAAAGAGACCGTACAATAGGCAGACAGATGGGTCGGGCCCCGGCTTCTCTGTTTCTGCACACTTCAGGGGTAGTCATGTTCTCTGCCTGCCTTTGGTTTCACTGTGCACAGCATTTTAGCTCTCCCCCTTGGACCCTGTAAAGGGGGGAGGGAAGCACCTTCCATTGAGCCATTCCAGGAGGCAAGACTTAGGGAGACCAAGAGGCATAATTTCCCTCCTTGGGCTTACCACTGGGATCAGAGTGGGAAGGAGTATACTGCTTGTCTGACCGGGTCACTCTAATGCCCCGGAGAAGGTGCCAAGCGGCACTCACCAGTATAGGCCTTATCCCAGATGGGCTTCACAGGTGGTCTCTCTTCAGACAGCAGTGTGAGATGCTGACTGAGAAAGTGCTCTCTGCTCTTTAAAGTGGTAGGGATCCAGGAACATCTTGCTTTCTGGGAAGATGGCTTTAATGCATTTCTTTGCTAACATGCTTTTGCCCACTAGTCATCCGTAGTGGAGTGGCCATGTCTCTGAGTTTTGAATTGGGAGGAAAGTGTGGAACCTCACTTAGTGCTCTAGCATCTTCCTGAGCCTGGGAAAGCCTCCCTACAGGTCCCAGCCCTCTTTTTCTCTCTGAACCACAAGACCTGATTGTGGACAGGATTGATCCCTCTGGGTAGGGGGAGGGCAGCCAGGCCTGCCTTTCACCTTCTTCTCTGTTTTCTTACAGCTCACCTTGCAGAGCACAAAGTCCCGAGTGGCCTTCTTTGAAGAACTCTAGGAAATGACCCAGCCATCCCAGGAGTGGCCACTTCTGCCTGGGCCCTGCTGCATCAGCAGGATTGACCGCGCACCGTGGAAGCGATCCCTGGACACGCTGGCCGGACGACGAGGAGCTCCTTGAACTTTCTGTGGCCAAGCGGTGACCCCACTGCCAACAATGTGCAATGGCCTTGAATTCCAGCCCTTCCAAGGATTTCTCATGTGGGATTCAAGTTCCGCCCTATGGATTTTTTAAAAATGTGCAGTCTCTTTTGTCTGATGTGTAGCTGTGGTATCCCACGTGGTCTTCAGACACCTTGGTATGTCATGTTTGCTAGATGCGGTCTCAGCCTGTTCCGCCGAGGGGAGAGGGGAAGCTGATGTGAGTGAGGATAGCCAAGCAGATGGGACAGGCAGAGCCCCTGTGTGAGCGTCCTGGTGACACCTTCTGAAACACCAGGGGTCAGTAGGATTGGTGGTCTTTGCCGCTGCCCCCAGGCTAGGGTTTCAGAAGAGCGGGAGATCTCAGTCGCTGGGCTGAAAGAAATGCCTCCATGCTGGTGCCATGGAGGGCCGGCCTCCAGGGGAATGGGTCTCTAGGCTCTGGAGGAGGGAGGCTGGGAATCTGCCCAAGCTGGGACACAGGCTCATCACAGCCATCAGGCCTCGGGTCTGTGCCCCTTGAGGACGGGCTTTGGCTGCCAGATGGCCAGGCGTGAGAACAGCAGCCATGAATGCGAGAAGGAGTTTAGGCCAAAGCCTCGGCTGGGGGCTGGGGGCTGGGGGCTGGGGGCCAGGTGTGGTCAGCAGCTCCCGAGCTCGCCTCACACCACATCCACAGTTGAGGGGAGCGGTAGCCCCCAAAGCCTGCCCCCTGCACATCCTCTTCCCTTCTGGGCTTCGCTTCCCCTGCCGTGGTTCACGTAAGATGTGAGGGACCTAGTGTTTGTTGGGACCTTCCAGTAACCAGCCGAGACTCCAAGGGCGGTGGGTCTTTGCAGGCCCTCCTTATAGCTCACAGGTATTCCTCTGCTCTGCTGTCGATGGCAAGCCTTTCTTTGGCACTGATTTATCTTGTGTTCTCTCTTGGCAAGAAACTTGGCTGCCCTGGCTAATCTCTGCTCTCTTCATCTGGAACCATGCTGCTTACCCCTTGCATCATCTACATGTTTAATCTTGTTCCCCTGCCCAAAGCCCTTTTTAAAAAACTCCTTGTTGGACATTTAGGCTCTTTTGTACTCCCTTTCCTCCCCTCGCTGTGCCTAGTATAGTGTTCTGCCCCACCGTAGTGGGTGCTCAGTAAATGCTCTTTGATTGACTATTCTATGCTAAGTTGGTGGCTAAAGAAATAATTCTCCCTTGTACTTGGTTGGGTGCTGCTCTCTCCTGGCCGAGGTCCCTCCCTTGGGCCACTAGCTGCTGTGCCCACTGTGACCTGGGTGGTTTTGAGCTGTTCCACGGCTTTGACAGCTTGTCAGAGACTGAGAAGGGAAGGAAGCCATCCCTGTGCGGTCAGAAGGAGCTGTGGGCTTCATTGGGTGGCTCCTCCACAACCGCTGGTCTGCCCTTTGGGCCTTGAAAGCCGTGCTCGGGGAGAGGAGCAGGTTGGTGACTCTGGAGGGAGTCCCCGAGCCCCTCCTGGTCTGGCTGGGTGGTCAGCCCCCTCCCGCCTGGCCCTGTTTCTGTCCTTTCTGCTGGCAGGAGGATGGCCGAAATGACCTCATAGTTGCTTGTGGCTGTGAGGCAACAAATGTGAATCTGGGGGCTTTGCTCTCTGTGTGTTGCCTGTTTTTGAATAATAAAAACACTTAGTCATCCAGGCAGTAGGAAGGCCTGGGATCCTGCCTTACCCCCTGACCTGCTCTGTAGGATGAGGCTCTGGCTCCACGGTACCGTGCTGTCTCTGGCGCGGCCACCTCTGTGACCGGGTGGGGGACAGCTGGGAGGTGTCTGAGCTTAGCCTCTGGGGAGAGCTGCATTTATTTAATTAGCAGTGAAAGCCCAGTGCCTCCTCTGGCTGTGGGGCATGAACCGGGCTTGCCAGATAACTCCAGTGTCTCCGTCTCTCTTCTGTATCTTATAAAGAGGCTCGAGAGAGATGCTCGATGTATTTGAGACTTGGGAGGGAGGATGCCTAAGGTCAGAACAGTTCCTCCCCCTGGGCAGGGATGCCAAGCCCCTGACCCAAGGGCAGTCTGAAAGCCAGAGCCCATATTATGCCCTCTGTTTCCCATAAATCATAATCTCACCTGAATTCTTGCCATAAATACCGTAGCTCCTCTTTAAAATTGAAAGACATAGAGGGAGAGAGCTGGCCCGGAGGCAGGAGACCCCAGCTTCAAGTGCTGGTTCTATGACTTGACGTCTCAGCGCCCTGAGCCATTCTCTCCTGTGCAGAGGAGAGCCCCCATGTCAGTGAAATCACAGATCCAGCCCCCTCCCCAAGGCAGTGACCCCAGGCCACAAAAGCAAATGTATAACCTGTAAATATAGGAAAGCGCCAAGCGTCCTTGGCCACAAAGGATTTAATGGCCATTCTCTGCTTATGGGGAAGGAAAAGCATGGAGAGCCAATTAATTCAACTCAAGAACTACCCCTCCTGTCCACTCCATTGGGGCCCCTCTGCCTGGCAGACCAAATACCCCACTCCTTGGCAGGGCAGGGGATGAGGGCCGCCAGGCTCCCCTGGGATGGAGCTTCTTGGTATGCAGAGTTGAGCAGGAAGGAGTCGGCCCTGTGAGGGCCTTGTCTGGAGAAAGAATGAGGGGAGGCTCGTTGGCTTTTGGATGCTTGTTCTCCCAGGGCTTAGAGATGACTGTTAGGTGTTTTGTATGTCAATAAAGCGCATAACGTGTAACATGTACCTGAACTTCTGACATGCCGTTGGAGAGGAGGGAAGAGACAGTGCAGAAGCATTCATTGAGGAGCCCAGGGAAGGCTTCTGGGCAGGAGCAGTGAAGGGCAGGAGTGGCTTCCGGGACCCCGGGTCCTGCCAGGTACCTCCTGGGAAGTCGTGCTGCTGGCCCCAGACTTCCCCGCTCCGTGCCCCTGCTCCTGCATCCAGACTGATTGTCTCCCCTGAATTACATCACAGCACTTAGAAATACATGAAAAAATGTGCCCAGCGCCCCGAGCCGGACACCCCCACGCTCCTCACACTCCCAAGTGAAAGTGCATGTTGTAAGCTGGCAGGGAGAGGCCCCTGCACCTCTTCCTTCCTCTCTCTTTCTGCCACTCTGTCTCTGCCCTTCCTCTCTTGTGTCTCTGTGCATCTCTGTGTCTCCATCTCCACTCTCTCCAAAGTAGAAGTCCATCCAAACCTTCACAGTCCAGCAACTCGAAATCATTCTGCAACTTTGACTAGAGAGCTCAGAGCTCCCAGCCTGGGGAGAAGGAAACCTTGGCTCTCATCTGTGCCAATCTCCCTGGTCTCCAGCCCAGGGGAGTCAGCCCCCTTCTCCAGCCTGACTCATGGCAGGTCACGCCCCCAATGTGGACACCTCGTCCAGCCCCCTTTTCAAAGCAAAAGTTTGAGATTTGGATTTGTACGGCCATGTCTTGTGACTGGAGGGGTGGAGCCCCCTTCTCCGTCAGGTGAAATACCCACAAGTCTGTTTTCTATTCTGGGGGATTATTATATTTTAACTGATTGTTTTAATAAAAATTCAATCCTGTAAAAGTCTGTGGTTGTCTTAAGAGTTTGCAGCTGAATTAGAGGTTCAGCTCCATCATCCCTTCTCGCGGGGAGGAGGGAGGGTCAAGAGCCCCAGATTTGGATCAGAATCTCGACTCTGCCGCTTTCCAGGCTGGGTGACCTTGGGCGAGTCACTTCTCTCTGAGCCTCCATTTTCCTCCTGTGTAAATGAGGCGGTTGACCTCTGAGAGCCGCCCCAGCCCCCAATCTGGGGTCTCATCATCTAGAAATTCTGGGGCAAAATGTCACCCCCACCTGACTGCACACAGACTGAGGTAACTCTTTAGCTCTTGGAGTGCATCATTTGGTGTTGGCAATCCCAACACCCATTTCAAGGCTGATGTCAATTCAACAAACATGTCCATACGCTCTGGGTGGGTGTGGCTGGCCCAGTGACAGGGGGCCAGAGATGAGCACAGGCAGACCATGTTCTTTCTCTTGAGCTCTTTCACCTGTGCCAGACCCAGTAACTCGAGCCCAAGAGCCGCATCTTGACTGGAGTTGACTGGAAGACATGCCCGCCTGGAGGAGGGGGCCAGGGGAAAGCATCAGGCCCATTGGGCACCACGGTGTGCCCTGACAGTCATCTGACCGGGGCTCTCTGCCAGCCTGACTTGGGGCAACCCAACCCCATTCCACAAGCATTGGTTATGGGCTCGCTATGTGCCAGGCACCAGGAAAACAAGGACGCAACCTTTCTGGGACCCGAGTTCCTCCTCTCTAGAGTGAGGGTCTTTAGAGGGCCTTCCGCCTCTAAATCCTAGAATGGGGTGGTAGGCTTGGGCCTTTGTTTTAAGAACTGAAACTCAGCTGCTATTTGGTGACTCAGTTCTGTTTTCCAACAGAGTGGTGCAGTCAGTAAGCATTTATTAAGTACTTACTGTGTGCCAGGCACTGTGCTGAGTACTGAAATACAAAGAAAGCCAAAAGACAGCCCCTGCCCTCAAGGAGCTTACAGTCTAATGGGGGAGAAACATGGAAATGATACATAAATACAGGATAAGTTGGAGATAATCAATAGAGGAAGGCATCAAGGAGCATCGGGAAAGGCTTCTCGTAAGGTGGGATCTTAGCTGGGACCTGAAGGAAGCCAGGAGGTGGAAATGAAGGGCAGAGCATTCCAGGCTCCCTGGGGCAGCTGGAGGAAACACCCAGAATCTGGAGATGGAGCGCTTGGTGCGAGGCAGACCTGGGTTCTGATCCTAGCTCTAAAACAGCTGGGTGGTGCAGCAGATAGAATGACAGGCCTGGCATCAGGAAGGCCTGAGTTCAGATCCAGCCTCGGATACTTCCTATCTGTGTGACCCTGGGCAAGGCACTTAGCCTTTCTTTGCCTCAGTTTCCTCAACTGTGAAATGGAAATAACATCCACTTCCCAGGATTGTGATGAGGATTAAATGAAATGATAATTGTAAAACTCTTGGCACAATGCCTGGCATATAGTAAGTGCTATATGTAAGTATTATTAGTATTTTTATTATTGTTGCTACCCATGGGCCTTGGGCAATCAGTTAATCTTTCTAAGCCCGTTTCCTCCTTGGTAAAATAAAGGGACTTGACTAGACTTAACCTTTTTGTGACATGGACCTCTTCAGCAGTCTGGTGACTGATGTTTTTAAATGCATAAATAAAATGCATGGGATTGCAATGGAAACCAGTGATTTTTAAACAGTTAACAAAATATTTTTGAAAGTTCCCAGACTCCGGGTTAAAAACCCTTGACGAGATGGTCTTTGAGCATTCTCTCCGGCAGTGCCTTCCCATCATCCTGTGGGATTCCTGGGTCACAGAAGGTGTGTAGCTAATTAGTGCCGGGCTGATCCTCATCCATGCCCTTCTAGAAATCCTCTAGAGAATGCCAACATTTTCCTTTGCCCCTCTTCCCACAAGCCAGTTCACCTCTTATCGCCCTGCACTGGCTGCTGCGTGACAGGGTCTGCCCAGAAGCGTCGTCACAAGAAGCAAGAGAAAACAGCATGGTGGCCGTCCCATCCAGCAATTGGCTTGTAGCAACCCGTGAGTGCCGCTGCTTCCAGCCTTGTGGAAGGGTCAAGGACTCTGGGGAGGTGATCCCTCCTGGTCCATCCTGGTCTCACAAAAGCAGACCTAAGCCAGGGGTAGGTTCGTGACAACCGCACTAGAATCCCCAGAGTGCTCGGGAGCTTTCCAGGTGGCTCCTGGGATGACCACCTGTGACCTCGAGACTCAGGACCCTAGAGGAAGCCGCATGTCGGTGAGCCAGACCAACAGCCACTCGATGTCCATTGGAGAGTCCGTTTCAACCCTAGCTCGTCCTTCCCCTTCCCACCCAGCCCCTGTGACTGGGCGGGCTGCTTAGGTGGAGGAGTAGGGGTGTGTGGTTTGTAAGGGAAAACAGAAGCACAATCCCCGCAGTGAAGACAGGAAACCCCTATGCAAGTTACCTGTGGGCTTTCCAGTAACCTCAGTAATTTTGTTTGTATTTAGCAGAAACTAGTCCAGGGGTGGGGATTCTTCGGCCTTGAGGCCATGCGTGCCCTTCTAGATCGTCGGGTGCGGCCTTTTAACCCAGTCCAAGTTTTACCAGACAAATCCTTGTATGAAGAGGGGTTGCTCTGTGAGGTTTGGATTCAACCCAAGCGCCGCACTTGAGGACCCGGAGAGCCACGTGCTCCCCACCCCTGGACTCGTCAGTTTAGAGGAGCCTTTAAAAAGACATAAATTCTCCATAGAGAGTCTGCCTTGTGAGCTGGAAGCCTTCCTCTTTTTGGAAACAAAAGCACCTGATGTCATCCTGACCAGGTTCGGAGGGGTTCTTTGCCAGTTTGGCTACAGCAGCTCAGGAACACCTGGGCCATAGCAGGTCTTACTGACAAAACCCAGGGGCCTTAAATTATCCAAATATTTCAAGGGGCCTAATGGAGAAGGTAGGTCAGCTAGGTGGGTAGTGGACGGGACTGTGGATAGGCCTGGCCTCAGGAAGACTCTTCCTGCGTTCAAGTGTGGCCTCAGACGCTTCCTAGCAGGGTGACCCTGGGCAAGTGGCTTCACCCTGTTTACCTCAGTTACCTCATCTGTAAAATGAGCCGGGGAGGGAAATGGCAAACTGCTTCAGTATCTCTGCCAAGAAAAACCCAAATAGGGGTAGCGAGGTGGTGTGGTGTGGAGTCAGGAGGACTGGAGTTCAAATCTGGCTTCAGACACATGACATTCATTAGCTGTGTGACTCTGGGAAAGTCACTTACCTCAATTGCCTCACCAAAAAGAAAAACCCAAATGGGGTCACAAAGAGTCAGACATGACTGAAATGGCTAAACAACAAAATAGAGAATGCGGACTGGCCTTGGGTTGTTTCTCTTCCCCCTCTTCAAGTGTGTGTGTGTGTGTGTGTGTGTGTGTGTGTGTGTGTGTGTGTGTG